CGAGTGCCGTTTGCGCGGAAGTATGCTCAGAGAGGGACCCGGGGAGGGACCCGGGGAGGGACCCAGAGAGGGACCCAGAGAGGAACCCCGAGGGGGACCCCGAGAGGGACCCAGAGAGGGACCCCGAGGGGGACCCTGAGAGGGGCCCCGAGAGGGACCCACGTGGCCCCAACGGGTACTCCGCCGAACGCCCCAGTGGCAGGGTCCGCATGCAATTGCACACCCATTTTTGGCGCACCCCTCACACGCTTCGTGGCCATAGTCTGGTCCACAGAAGGCCCCAGTGGCAGGGTCCGCATGCATTTCCACATCCCAAAAAGCCTCTAAGAGGCCCCCAAGAGGCCCCATTAGTTCGAACAGAACCCTAAAAGAACCCAAAACAGCTCCCAAGAGGCCTCCAAACTGCCTCCCGGAGGCATCCAACAGGCCTCTCACGAGATCCCTACGGACATTTAATAGGCTCCATGCCCACAACCCAAGCACGTTGACGGGATGGGCCCAAAGCCATTCGATCCGCCGCCCCCTGTCGATTCATCGCAGGGGTGCCTGGCGTGCTAAATTATTTCGTTTTTGGTTTTGGCTCTTTTTCCAAAAGAACTTCCTGGGGTTTCGGCCCGTCCGCAGGGGTCCCGGGACGATCTTCACGGAGCTCAATTCCCGGAGAAATCCTCCAAGACTGCTCAAGATGGCGTCCAAGATGGCCACGTTGGCCCAAGATGGCCTCCAAGATGGTCCCAGATGGCCTCCAAGTCTGCCGAAGATGGTCCAAGATGGCCTCCAAGACGGCCTCAGAGAGTCCAAAATGACCCCAAGTTCGCCCAAGAAGCCTCCAAGACGCCTCCAAGACAACCCAAGAAGTTTGAAGGGGGCTGGAAGGCCCAGCCAACAGCTTCGCCTCAGGCGAAGCCAAGCTCCCGCTCTGTCGCATCGTAGCAACGATAGTCCCAATGCAAGAGGAAATGCCATCTCAAGCAAGAGGGAGCACCTTTTGGTCTCGATAGCGATTGTGTGCCCCGCGGTGAGGCACAGGCAAAACTGGGCGGCCGGCCGCTTTGAGCCAAGGCGGCCGCGGGCGCACAATCGCTTCCACTCCTTACGTCCCCCAACTCGCTTTAGAATCGGGGGGGGGAGACGAAGCGTGCGTCCGCCGCCGCATGGCAGGAACAGTTCAGCAGCTAACCTATACAAGGACAGGAAAAGGGACGGGCCAAAGGAGATGGACCTGCCAGCAAGTTGCCTCGCATATGTAACGCACTCATCAGGCGGCCTCAGAGCTTGTTGTCTGGCCGGCCCGATATGGAGCATGTCTCTTCAGGTCATGTTTGAGGGTCTGTATACCTCCCATGACTTGTAGGAGCATCTCTCTGTCGATGCCCCCCTTGGCGTGTCCATCCGCAATCATGTCGCGGGTATCGCACCACTGAATGCTATGCACGATTCCACGCTCCATCATCTGTCGCATCCAACTTATGTGTCCTAAAAAGGGTACACTCAGTCGGCTTCTTTAAGCCTTCGCTTGACAAGGACTAAAAAACAGACTCAGCATCGATGGTCAGAGTGACCTTGATGCTCAGGCCACCCAGCTCAAATCTATCTTTCAACTGAGTGGGCGTGAGCGGCCCCGCGTGGAACTCGCGCAGTCAGAATCGCGGGATAACAGTCATCCAAGTTATGGGCTGCTGCGAAGTGTCTCTGCTGAGTAGCTTGAGCGGACTTGCCAGCGGTAAGACTTGCAGTGCGCATCAATCAAGTGAACGACAGGCTTGCCAGATGACGTGTTTCCACGTCGTAGCAGGTTTGCCCCGCGAATACAATAGCCTTTGACGTCGGCATCGGCGTCTCCGCTCAGGCGTCGATAGCCTGAGTCGCTATGTAAGTCGACCTCGCCCGCGGGGTTCATCGCCTGGTAGACGATCTTCTTTGGGCAGGCCTGTAACTTTCTAGTGATCGCGCTCAGTCGTCGCACTTGAATATTGGTCGGTTCTTGGACACGCTGAAGAGATACAACGTATACCATCAACCATGCCTGGGTGAACAGGGCGCGCGCCGGCGCACCTCTGAGGCTGACGAACATGTATGCCACCATCTTGGTCGCTTGAGCGCCAACGTCAGCACCAGTCAATTCAGGATGTTGTATAGGACGGAGCTGTTTGATATATTCATCTTGGTCCAGAGTAGCATGGCCATCCTCATCGTTAGTGTATCTCACAGCACAGTTAGCGCATGTGTGCTTGTTGAGATTACACTTGCCGAAGGTATCCTCAACGCATGTGACATACTTGTCAATAGTGCCCTCAGTGCTGGCCATATCAATGTCATCAACATGCTTGGCCGTGAGCAAGTTGTTGCTGGTCTCGAACTCCTCGTCGCAGGGCGCGGGTCGGAGGCCAAATCCTCTAGTAATTCTCCTGAAATTAACTGAGAAAGCCCGGGGGGCGCCCTTAGTGCCTGCGCCCGGTTTCATGCACTGTAGACAATGCTTTGACTCGTCGTAGTTCTCAAATCCTGGAAGAGCACGGAGCGCAGTTGCCGATCCAGGCGGCGAAGTAAAGCACGCCACGCGTTCCTTTTCACCAGTTGCCTCAGCAAGTTCCTGATAGGCCAATCCCTCCAGGAAGGCCATGTTGATGTCAAGGGATGCAATGAGCCGCTGTTTCTTGCACGCTGCCGTGCTTGCAAATGACCCTCTGGCCGTTCCCGAAAATGTTTCTACGTCGAAAGCTGCGACATCCACGACGCCTCGAAGTGCCAAACGAAGTCGGATGGCACGTTCCATCTCGCCCTCGTCGTCCTTCACGAATTTCCATGTGTATACATACCTCGAAGTCACGATGTTCGAGGCTGTGGCTATCTCCTGCATCTTAAAGCATTTGTTGTCGAACCATGTCTTGAGCTCGGCGAAAAGGGTCTTCGGCATTTTCTCGGGATTCGCCTGAACGTCAGCTTTGGCGAGGAGGTCGTCTTCCTTGATGACCGCGGCTCGATTTGCAGCGGCGGTAACATATACTCGCATAGTGGTCACCCGGCCGGCATCTAATACCATGCGTTGCTGCTCGGACAAGAGTACCCTTGACATTTCTGTCGTATAACAAAATTCAAAATGTCGACCCTTTTCGTCCGAGTCGAGTCCGTAGCCGTCGTCTTCGACCATGGTGCACAGGGGGGCGTAGTACGTCTCCTCGGCATAGGAATCGCGAGTGCGCCCCCGCTTCGGCAGGCGCCCCCGCTGTTCATCAGCTACAGTGATCAACGCACTCTGATCAGGAACCATATGTGTGGGTACGGTAAGGAGGTATTCTAGTGGAGCTGCCTCCAACAAGTCTCTGTCCTCTCGCAGTTCCGCGTACCACACCTCCATAACATGTGACTCAATATCAGCTTCTGATTCCTCGTAAATCGTAGACAGCCGTCCGTCATCATGTTCTGGTTCGGCTTCTGAAGCCTCTTCTGTGGCTCCTTCATGCGTCGGCGCATCCGCCAAATCCTCAAACTTTGACACGTCCTGATCGAAGCCTGCCTGAGGTTTAGTGGACTTCCAGTCCAGTGAATGTGCTGATCCAGCTATGTCATTATATTCAGAGTACCACCTTCTGCTTCATAGTAGTGGAATCCTGGATTCACGTCGCTGTCGCAATGGACCAAAGTGCAGCTCTCAGCATAAGTAACCGGAGGAAGCTTATGAATACCTCTGGCTAATCTGACCGGAACTACGCTCTCGATGCGAATGAAGTTTCTGATGAGATATTATAAGGCCAAGTGTACCTTTGGGGATAGACGACTTGCAGTTGTCATCTGAGGCGTACTTTTCTTGGTCGGCACACAACCACATGTCAGGGCAGGTCTCCCCGCGGCCAGGCTGGCTGCGAATGTCAACGCTGTACGTAGGGTGGTGTTGTCGGAGCCAATCTCTCGAGCTCTGAGTGTTTCAATATAGAGCGAATGTCTTGCATCGCCGCTTTGTATTTGAACATCTCAATTGCGTACTCGGATGATGACCTGACCCCTTTCGGGATCATTCCTTACGACTGGGAACGGGCCATTCCAGCCTCCACAGTCATCTAGAGTAGTCGTCGGGCGATGGTAGTCGACCAAATCTCCTTCGTCATAATAGCGCTGACCTGTAATTGTCGTCTTAGTGTGTAGAGCACGATTGGTCTTAGCTACTGCAGTGGCCTGTGTGTTCGCTTCAATACATATCCTGCGTATCGTCTGTTCACGAGAATGATATGATGTTTCTGTCGGCTGCTCGTGGTCCAGAACAGGAAGGTCAGGGAGCATTGCTGGTTGCCGTCCAAACAATGCGCTGTATGGAAACACTTCATTATAGAAGGTAAAGGCACTGGCGGCGAACAAGGCTTCGTGCAGTAGTCTGGTGGACACAAGAGGTATGTCCAACCTATTGAGTTCAGCCTCCATGACGTGAATTAGATGACGTAGGATGCCACTTCTGGTCTCGATCGTCGTAGCGTGTTGTCCACGCGCACGTATTTTGAGTTCAGTGCCTTTTGCCTTGAGGATTGCTTTCGCAATGTCATTATTCAGGGCACCTTCTCCGTCGGAGTAAAATACCTTAGCCAGTCCAGACTGCATCCAGCACTGATGATATGCATCCAGGATAGTGGTCATAGTTATGTCTGGTGTTTCCATCACATAGCATATCGGGAGCGCGGCCTCGAGGGGCCTGGCCGCGGGCGCCGCCGGCGCCGCCGGCGCCGTCCGAAGCCAGCGGCGCAGCCAAGGGGCGGCCTCCTCCGTCCCTGCCTCCCTTCCTCCGTCTTGCTGTCCGTCCCTCAATGCCCCTCACTCTCTCTCTACATGTCTCTCCCTCCCACTCTCTCTACCTCTCTCTCTGCATATAAAATATGTATATAGATATCTCTCTCCCTCTCCCTCTCTCTGCCTATCCCCTATCCCCTCTCCCTCCCCCTTCGATCCTCCATTCAAATGTTGATCCTGTTCTCATCGTCTCAAGCATTCCAGCGAGCCAGGCAAGAGCTGGCCTTAAGCTTTTTGACGTGCTTCACCGTCGTCGGCATCCGCACGCCTTCCTGTCAATCATTCTGGGAGGAGAAGGGTGACGAGGGCAAGGACGAGATGCGAAAGGAAGGAACCGCGGATGGCAGGTGCTTGACGCAAAGGCTGGGGAATGTCGTCCGCAACCGCTTGTGACAAGATGTGTTGCCAAATATCTGCCCAATCCACCTTCTGACTCGCCTCCCCCCTGCCCCTCCCACACCCCATCCTCCTCCTACATCCCTTTTCTTTATAGGAGGAAGTGGAGGAGGAGGAGAAGGAGGAGGAGGAGGAGGAGGGAGGAGGAGGAGGAGGGAGGAGGGAGGAGGAGGAGGAGGGAGGAGGAGGAGGAGGAGGAGGAGGAGGAGGAGGAGGAGGATCGCCGCCGTGCCGCCCGCTGGGCACGGAATGAGCGTGTCCTCAGGTCCTTTGCCGAATCTCTTCCACTTCACAGGCAAGCCGCACATCGTCACCAACGACGCCCTGTACGCCGACGACGCGCTGCTCGTGGCCTACGATGGGCGTGTCCTCGGGTCTTTCTTTCTTTCTCTAGGCCTGAGTCACAGTGATGACGGCCGGTTGGAAATGGCAGTAATGATGGCCATCACTGCTTGGACAGCTTCGTCCAGAGCGATTGCCTCGGCTGTGAAGGAAGAAATAGGGTCGCGAAGAAAAGTGCCTCCTAATATGATCGGGGTGGTCACTATGTAGGCCCCCTTCCGGACGACAGTTTCGATGCACCATGCTGCCGCAGAACACGCTGCTCGTGGACTACGATGAGCCATCCCTCCAGAAGCATGTCCTGACCGGTGTACGAAATTGTAAATCGTTTGGTCTTGATCTGACTGCTGGGAAGACAATATTATAGAGAAAGCGATCCAATGACACTGTGCTTGGGCCTAACTGTGAAACAATCAAGTGCCAAGATTATGTTGTGTACCTGAGGGGATTCAGGTGCAGGTGGGAAGGCCAAAACTGAGCTCACACAGCGACTGGGGGAAGCGAACGGAGAATTTCACAAACTACGCACGGTGTGGGGCCATGCGAATATGACCCGACAACACAAATTTCGGGTACTGCAAGCCTGTGTGTACTCTGAAATACTATACGGGCTCGAATCTTGCATGTTACTGAAGGCGGACTGCGATCGGCTTGTCAACTGCCAAGCAAAATACTTGCGACTGATTTTCAACATAGCGCCAGCTTTCCTGTCTCGCGTCAGCAACGCTGATGCATGGGCGGCACCGGCAGCCTGCCCACTATCAACTTGTTGATTACAGCGTCCATTGAACTTCTACGGCGAGCTGGCAAAGGGGACCGCCCGGCAGTGCTCAGCCTGTCAAGAGCAGTGTTCCAAGTTGGCCAAGACTACTGTGCTCTGCCCAGGGACTGGGGCACGCCGCGCCTCAGAGTGCGCCCGCGATTACAATGGAACGCCTACATGCACGCTCAAGCCCTGGCTGTGGCAGGGAGCAACCCCGACAGATTGCAAGCCTAGCCTTCCTGCGTGGAGCGCCAGGGCCCTGGAACGCAGCTGTTGTAGACTTTCGCTTTACATAATAACTTTGCGTGGGTTCCCGCCCTCTCTCCTCCTGCTCCTCCTGCTCCTCCTGCTCCTCCTGCACCTCCTGGTCCTGGTCCTGGTCCTGGTCCTGCTCCTGCTCCTGCTCCTGCTCCTGCTCCTGCTCCTGCTCATGCTCCTCCTCCTCCTCCTCCTCCTCCTCCTCCTCCTCCTCCTCCTCCTCCTCCTCCTCCTGAACACTGTAGCATATCCTCGCGCTTCGCTGGGGCAAAACCGTTCAGCGTACGCTTCCGAAGCACAGCAAAGGGCACGTTTGCACGAATCGCTCTTTTGGTTCTAATTCGCTTGTGTTTTACGAGCCATTATTCCTGCCAGTGCGCCGTCCAGGCGCGGCTGTGTGTGTTAAGCCTCAGTCTTCAATCCTCAGGAGCCGTTCAGGGCCCAAACCCCAAATTCTCTCACATATTTTTGAGTTTGGCGCGGTTCCCTTGGGCTCTGGCGCATCGTCTCGCTGATTTCCTGGGGCTGAGGGCGCGCAAACGGGCCAAGAGGGCCCCGAGAGGCGCCAAAAACGGCCCAAGAGGGCGCCGATTCGCCGAACGATCGGTTCAAGACGCCCAAGATGGCCACATGACGGCCCAATAAGATTTACACCCCAAGAAAAACACAAGATCCGCCCCAAGAGGGCCCCGAAGAGGCCAAAATCCGCCGACCCCTTGTGGGTCTCTAGGCGCATGAGAAAGTCCCCGCCCCCCCCAAGGGCACCGAACCGGGAATCTGACCCCCCCCATGGCCGCGCGCGACCCACCCCCGAACTCATCGGGGGGAACCCGGCCTTTCCAGACTCCCTTTCCAGCTTTCTGGGCCGCCTCCCAAGGGGCACCCGAGACGGCGCCCGAGGGCCCCCATGCGCTCAAGATCGCTCAAAGACGCTCCAGATGGGCCCAAGAGGCCGCCAAGACGCTCCAAGAGGCGCTCGAGAAGCTGCCCAAGAGCGCACCGGGAGGCAAACATCAAAGTTTTTCCATGGGTTGCTAAATTCGTATTGGCCTCTCGCGTTTCCTCCTTCCCGACGTTCCAAGACGCTCCAACAGGGGCCCAACATCGCCCCGACTCAACCCTGAAGGCTCCCAAAACGGCCCAGGAGGACCCCGCGACATCTCCAGAGGCTTCCTAGACGGCCCGAAAGGCCCTCGAAGCGACTCCAACACTGGACCCAGACGGGAGACCCGAACGGACATTTCGGGTCCTCGGCCCCGAGGTCGCCCCAACAGGCCCCAATGCGGCCCCGAGAGGCCCCGACAAGCCTACAACTGGCCTATAACAGGCACCCTGGAGGTGTCAAAAGGTCCCAAAACGCCCCGCACAAACCCCAAAACGAGCCAAGACGACCCGAACCTGCTTTGAACAGGCCCCGACAGACCTACCAAGAGAGCCCAACGAACAATCCAGAGGCCTCTCACTCACAACCTGGGCGCGGTGGCGGGATGGCCCGCAGGCTATGCGCGGACCATTCCTCTGGCGTTTCCAAATAAGTCCGCCGTCTCTGAACGTTGTTCCTCGCTTGTTTCCCCCTGCGCGCGCGGGAAACACTGCAGCTGTCAGCTGCAGATTTTGCCATCAACCCACTGCACACCCCCCATGTTCACGACGCTGCCCCGCCCGCCTCGCCCCGCGGAGCCCCCCGCTGACCCTGCCCCGCAACCACGTCGGGACGAACCGAAAGCCACGGCAGATTTCACATCCCTGGAGCACGCGCGGCCTGCACATCCAGAGGGCCAGCAAACACCTCTGGGGCACCGCAGTCGCCCCCGACCGGTCCGACCAGCCACGCAAGGCATGCCTTCAGGATCCAAGACCACATGTTCAGGCGTCCTCCTCCTCACCTTCCTTTTCCGACTCCTCCTCCTCCTCGTCCTCCGCGCCCCCCCCTCGTTATGTCCCCCCTGTCGATTCGGGGCTTTCGCGCCCTGCCGCGAACGCTGCAGCGGGCCTCGCGCGCGCGACTTGCACTGCGAGGTGCCGTTCTGGTGAGAACGCGCGAAATGCGGCCCAGCGACAAAAATTGCACTTCGGGCTGTTGCAGGCGCCAAAACACATGCGCGCCTACCAACTCCGCGTCATAAGTGCGAGGCCCAAACAATCTGCGCATGCAACTTTACCCATCCGCGTGAAGTGATATTTCTCCTGTCTGTCACTGATGCGTTCCTGCCGCGGAAGCGCCGTCTCGCGCGCCGCGCGCCCACTTCGCCGCATCGGCCACTCCCTTCGCAGCGGCGCCCAGTTTCGCACGCGCCCCTCGCGCCGCCCTGAGTCTTATCGCCGCCCGGCAATTCTTTGCCTGGCCCTGGTTCGCATGATCGGTTGTTCGACTAGCCCCCCCGCGCCCTGGCGCGCAACGCGTCAGCGGCCGCGCTTCCGCCCCCATTTTCCAATTGCGGCTGTTCGACTCGAGTCGCCTTCTGCCGTCCTGCACGGCCCCTCCCGCTGCATCGCGCTTCTTCTGCACTTCCGACACCAGCGCCCGCTCTTCGAACAGCGACGGGCATTTGCCGTTCGAACACCGCGCAGCGCCTGCGCTCTCGTTTCGCTTCGCGCTACCGCGCCGCGATTTCTGCGGCGCTTTCACATGGCTGCGTTTCGCGCAACACATGGTCCGAATACGTTTCGGCTCCTCCGCGACGGCCGCTTCCGCGCCCCCCTCGCCGGCCCCCTTCCGCGCCCGTCCATGACCCCTCCACCCCGTTGCAACTGCTTTGCGCGTTTTGCGCCATTTCCCCCCGGAGCCCCCCATTACCTCTGCGCACTCCTCGCAGAGCGCTGGCCCGCCCTTCCCCCGGAACCCATGGAGAAGTCTTTCACGAGCAGCCTCCGCCAGGGCCGCCCACGCTGATCCCGCGGCATTAGCTCCGCTTCCCACTCTTCCTTGTCCACGCGCCCCTCTCGGATAACCTGCGATAGTCCCACCAGCCCTTTGGGCGTGAGTGGTTTAGCGAGCTTTCTCTGTCCTCAACCCCCCAACCCCCCTTCTTCCCCTTCGGGGAGGGGTTTACCCCTCCCCCTCCCCCCTCCCCCTGGGTCTGGAGAGGGCGGGCCGCGGGTCGTTGGAGGGGTCTTTTTCGACTCCTGGGAGGGCTAAAAAACGACGACCCTCACGAGGATTCTGGCCCCGACGGGGGGGCACCGTTTGGCCCCCCTCCTCTTCTTTAAAGCCAGAATCATTGATTTTACTACGGTTTTGGCCCCATTTTGGCGTCCTGAGGGGGCCGCGCTCATCTTCCTTCATAGCAAAATCATTGATTTTACGAAGGTTTTCGGCTCATTTTGTCCTTCTCAGGGGGCAGCTCTCATTTGCGCTTCTGAGGAGGGCCCCAAGATGGCCCCAAGAGGCCCCCAGGAGGCTCCCAAGAGGCCTCCAAGAGGCCCCAAAGAGGCCCCCAAGCGGCCCCCAAGAGGCTCCTAAGAGGCCCCCAAGAGGCCCCCAAGAGGCCCCAAGAGGCCCCAAGAGGCCCCCAAGAGGCCCCCAAGAGGCCCCCAAGAGGCCCCCAAGAGGCCACACGAGGCTCCAAGAGGCCCCCAAGGGGCCCCACGAGGAGCCCGAACGACTCACATCAGGACGAGGGGCCCGAACGACTCACACCACGAAGAGGCCGAACGACTCACACCACAAGGAGGGGCCCGAACGACTCACACCAGGACGAGGCGCCCGAACGAACTCACACCACGAGGAGCCCGAAGGACTCACACCACGACGCGGGCCCCGAACGACTCACACCACGAGGAGCCCGAACGAGTCACACCAGGAGGAGGGGCCCGAACGACTCACACCAGGACGAGGGGCCCGAACAACTCACACCACGAGAAGCCCGAACGACTCACACCAGGACGAAGAGCCCGAACGACTCACACCATGAAGAGCCCGAACGACTCACACCAGGAAGAAGGGCCCCGCGACCCTCGGGGCCGACGACTCCAAACCCCGACGCTCTCAAACGGACAGATAGGAGTGGGGGACTCCCCTCCTCCTTCGCCTCGCCCTTCTCCCGCTCCCCCCGCAAGGAGGATGTACAAGGAGGCGGGAGGAAGGAGGAACAGGGGAGATATGCGGGGCCCAGCGGACACACGCCTGAAAAACACGACTGTCGGCATGCTTCGCGAGAGTTGCTGCTGTGAGATGGGCCGGTGGGGATACGCGAAGCGTAAAGAATTTCCTCGCCCCTGCCATTTCGCCCGCGTCTC